TGTGTTTTATTTCTCAATCACTGGATATAATCACCAGCTGGGAAACCGGATCAGATTTGCTGGGCTCCTTAGCTCAAATGTCTCACATTGTGTTTCCATATCTGGTGTATAGTGGCTGATCCAGTTTGCAAAGGATGGCCCATGTCTAAGAGACACATTGCCTTGCCTTGATATGCACTATATACAGTATGTGGACAAACAATACAATGTTCTTTCCTTCGGCTTAGCAGACAATCTTTCAGCCTCGTATACAATAAGACTGTAATAGCCTATCTTTTAGTGGTGGAGCAGGAGGGCCGCCAGCTTTTCCGCCGCCCCGAAATGCTGCCCCCGCACAGAGGCGGCGGAAGGTTCCGCCACGGAAATACCACTGCGGTCGCCGCCCCCCAAATGGCAGCACCCTAGGCGACCACCTAGGTCGCCTAATGGGTTGCGCCGGCCCTGTGGTGGAGGAATGTAGAAGTAGTTTGTCTTTGCTATTATTTTCTGAATGGGGCTACTTTGAAAGTTCAGACCCAAATTAAGCAGGGATCATACTCTAACTCTATGCAGCATCAAGTTTATGGCTTCTTGAGAAATTAATTCTATTTGTTGCTTTCCCATTCCAGAGAATGATGAGCCCCATAATATCGGGGAAAGGACTATTGTTGAAAGGACTATTGTCGAGTAGCAACCTATGGATGAGAGGTAAGGGAACACCAAGGAATGACTTTTTTGTTCATAAACTATCCCTTTGGTCAATTGTAGAGCGTTTCTAATGAGCTCTGAAGGGTCACTCTTTAATTCAGCTCCAATTAGAGAAGACTGTTAGCTGTGACAAAAGTCTTTGCAGGTGATGGTGTGAGATACACGAAGTGATGGGGAATCTTCCTATTTATGACAGAGAAACAGAGGCCCTGCTCTATGGGAAGGATATTAACTTGACATATCAGAAACTTTTCATGTGTAGTGACCTACTATAGAAGTTGGAGCAGAGGGGTGTCCTTGTCCCCGTTCTTTTGCAAACTAATGTTACTGGCATCTTGGCATAGGGGTGAAGAAGTGAATGGGCCTGCAGGACTAAATTACCCTTTTCCCAAAGTGGGTAGCTACTTCTAAGCTAATTGAAACACTACTGCTTCTGAGCTATATTTGAAAGGGCAGGGTGGAGGAAACTTGAACTGGCACTTGATGTAGTATATATGTGCATTTAAGTACAGGCTGTTAGTCTTGAGTACTGTCAATCTGGCAGCTTTCAGAGCACTACATTTACTTTAAAATTAAAAAGAGTTTTATTGCTTAAACATTATCTATTATGATGGAAAGCAGCCAAGAAAAACTGGTCGGTGCATCAAAATGGCAGTTTTATTTTGCATAAATCACAGGGAGAGAGTAGTGTTGGGGGATGGGGGAGGTTGTTGCTATGTGCTGGGACTGGATCGGTTTGAGTTCAGATACAATCCTGACAAGTGGAAAAACACTGAAGGGGGGATATTAATATTAGCTTCACAGGTATGGGATCTGAAAATGTTTTTGTTGTATATTATTACATATGTTTGTGTGGATTAATTAAGTGGTGATGTGAAGAACTGCTATTGTGTCCCTAGCCTCTATTTGGCAGAAGCTGGGAATGGGCTGGAAGTCCAGCTGCACCCCCACCCAGGCTCTCAGCTCCCCACTCCCGGACGCAGCTGGGTTCCCAGGGGGGAGCTCTTCACCTGGAGTCTCAGTGGCTCCCAGTGTGTAGTGAGGAGTGGGGAGTCCAAGGTGCAGCCTAGCTCGCAGCTGAGAGTGGGGAGCTGGGCGGGTGCAGCCCAGCAGCTGTCTGGAGGCTCCCTACTCACCGCAGGGAGCCTGGCAGCTGCACCGAGGCTCCAGGCACCCTGCTGTGAGCTGCAGGGGCATCTAGGCTCCCAGTGATGGGGAGCGGGGAGCCGAGAGCCCAGGGGTCAGCTAGGCTTCTGTCAAGGAGCTGCCTGTGGTTCTGAGAGCCCAGGCTCTCAGCCCCCAACATTGCCCCTCTTAAGTCAGTGGAAATGCTCCTGGTGAGGACGCGCAGCACTGACAGAAGGAGGGTAGTGTGGACATGAACCATCGCAGTATTTACTAACATAGGTTGACTTACATTTCAAGTATAGACATGCCCTTATATCTCTCTTCTCTGTTGGATACGGATGACTAAATACTCACCCTTTAATTATCTGTATCACCACAACACTTTCTGCATTTGACTAAATCATTTCAACAAACCTTTTCATTGCAGAAACAAACCATACCAGTTACATCAGAAATTCTGAATGCTCACAGATTTTGGCATGACTTTTGGGGGAACCACTTTGTCTGAACCCTGAAATCTTGGTATGAAATAATAGCACTTTTCCTCCTTGCTGCCATTTTAAGTTGACATCCTGTTAAAATCAGTAGCAAAGCAAGATGTAAAAGGCACATCTAGCAGGACAGCAGGCACCAGCTATGGATGTAGCTAGCATATATAGCAGTGATTAACTTGTTACAAAACAAATGATAATAAGCAATTAAAAATATTATCTGTTTCCTAAAATGACAAGTCATGTTGTTCAATAACATCCATTATAGTCTGCATGCAACGTTGTAAGAGCTCCATCGTGAGAAATCATAGAATCATAGAGGTGTAGGACTGGAAGGCACCTCAATAGGTCATTTAGTCCAGTCCCTTGCACTCAAGGCAGGACTACATAATAATTAGATCATTCCTGACAAGTGTTTGTCTAACTTGTTCTTAAAAACCTCCAATGACTCAGATTCCACAACCGCTCTAGGCCAGTGGTTCCCAAAGTTGTTCTGCCACTTGTGCAGGGAAAGCCCCTGACGGGCCAGGCTGGTTTGTTTACCTGCCGCGTCCGCAGGTTGGGCCAATCGCGGCTCCCAGTGGCTGCGGTTCGCTGCTCCAGGCCAATAGGAGCTACTGGGAGTCGCAATCAGCTGAACCTGCGGATGCGGCAGGTAAACAAACCGGCCCGGCCCACCAGGGGCTTTCCCTGCACAAGCGGCGGAACAAGTTTGGGAACCACTGCTCTAGGCAATTTGTTCCAGTGCTTAACCATCCTGACAGTTAGGAAATTTTTCCTAATGTCCAACCTAAACCTCCCCTTGCTGCAATTTAAGCCCAGAGCTCCTTGCCCTACCCTCGGAGATTAAGGAGAACAGTTTTTCGCTCTCTTCCTTGTAACAACATTTTATGTACCAGAAAACTGTTATCATATCCCCCTTCAGTCTTCTCTTCTCCAGACTTAACAAACCCAGTTTTTTCAATCTTTCCTCATAGGTCATGTTTTCTAGACCTTTAATTATTTGTGTTGCTCCAATTTCTCCACATCTTCCTGAAATATGGCTCCCAGAACCGAACATGATATTCCAGCTGATGCCTTATCAGGGCAGAGTAGAGCAGAAGACTTCTTGTGTCTTGCTTACAACACTTCTGCTGATATGTCCCAGAATGATATTCACTTTTTTTTTCAATAGCTTTACATTTATATTCAGCTTGTGATCCACTATGACCCCCAGATCCCTTTCTGTAGTACTCCTTCCTAGGCAGTCATTTCCCATTTTGTATGTATGCAACTGATTGTTCCTTTCTAAATGGAGTACTTTGCATTTGTCCTTATTGAATTTCCTCCTATTTACTTCAGAACATTTCTCCAGTTTGACCAGGTCATTTTGAATTTTAATCCTGTCCTCCAAAGCACTTGCAACACCTCCCAGCTTGGTAACATCTGCAAACTTTATAAGTGTACTCTCTATGCCATTATCTAAGTCATTGATGAAGCTATTGAACAGAATCAGACCCAGTACCATTCCCTGCAGGACCCCCTTCAATATGCTCTTCCAGCTTGACTATGAACCACCAATAACTACTCTCTGGGAATGAACTGTTTTCCAACCAGCTATGCACCCATCTTATGGTAGCTCCATCTAGGCTGTATTTCCCTAGTTCGTTTATAAGAAGGTCATGCGAGACAGTATCAAAAGTCTTATTAAAGTCAAGATATACCACATCTACCGCTCCCCCGCACACACACATCCACAAGGCTTGTTGCCCTGTCAAAGGAAACTATTAGCTTGGTTTGACATGATTTGTTCTTGACAAATCCATGCTGACTGTTACTTATCACCTTACTATTTTCTAGGTATTTGCAAATTGATTGCTTATTTGCTCCATTATTTTTCTGGTTACTGAAGTTAAGCTGACTAGTCTGTAATTCCCCGGGTTGTCCTTATTCCCCTTTTCGTAGATGGTTATAAGACACATATTTCTGAAGTTGAATTGAAATTTATGCTTTTATTTTTAAAACAAAATGTCTTCTGCCCTTGGTACAGTATGATTAGACTGTACATTGACCATCTGAATCTAAAGGAGGGATGCTGGATGTTTGAGAAAGCGCTCCTTCCTTCTCCTCCTTTAGGCCGGTAACCCCACATGTAGAGATATCATTATCACTACCCATACACCCATTATCTGACACTGATGGCAATGATCCTTCAGTTCAACTGGTTAACCCTTGAGAATGCTTAAAACCAAAAATATTTCACATCTGATTTTAATGAAAAAATATTAGTTTAAAAATAAGCTCTGGGTTGCATTTGATCTTTCCCAGGCTAGCTAGTCTTTAATTAGAGTTAGTTTAAACTCTGTCCCTTTAAAAGTATTAACCAGCAAAATGGGGAATCATTGAGTCCTTTCAGGAGCCTGGTCTAAATCTGTTACCATCATTGAACTTCGTCTATGTTAGATATTGAATAAGAAAATTAACACGAGAGGTTTGTTTTCATGGGTCTGATCAAAAATCCATTGCAGTCAATCTAAAGATTCCCATTGATTTCAATGGACTCTGGATCAGAATCAATGTTAGTGGGTCTGGGACATAAGAAAAGTTAAGAACAATATTTCTAACCATGCCATTCAAGGTGATTTCCAATCACTTTGTGCTGTATTCTTCCTTTATGATGGAATACCAATCACATGCATGACTTTCCAAGTTTACCTGCTTGTGAGCATGGTCATAGGAATTGATGTGGTTGTCAAATTCCTGGTGTTTGTGATACTGCTTGTCACATAATTCACAGTAGAAGTTAGCCTTCACATCCTCCAGACCCTTTGCTGTGGCCTTCTCCTTCTCAGCATAACCCTACAAAGGCAGAGGGAAAGGGTAGCATTCTGTTACCAGTAGTACTGCAGATTCCTGTTCTCATGCTTAATTAGCCACATTTTATGTTACGCAATAAGGAGCATTTAAAATGTTAGATCTGTTCCTCACAGACCAAATTGATGATTCACAGAAATCCACATTGATATGAAAATACATTTTGATCTAAAGTTAGTGACATCAGACTTTACTGGACATATTTTTTTTCCCCAGACAGATTAAGGAAACATTCACTCTCTGGACTAATTATTCTTTCAGCCTGACTTAAATATTATACCAAACGAAGTGTAATAGTACAAGGACGAGGAAAGAGCAACAAACAATGAGTAGGTCCTTAATCCCCTTATTGTGAAGTAGAATAATTAAGATGATACAAATGAATGTGTGGCTACACCCAGGATGCTAAACTTATTGTTCCAATATCTTTAGTTTGCCCATCCGTGTGTCTGCTCTTTCATATCGTTGCTTAAAGGAAGCAAATTTGTACTATACAGTTGCATACTGGGTCAGATTCTCATTTGTGTTCTGCCCTCTTTACACCAGATGAGTAGCTCTGAAGGGCCAGAAAGCAGGTGGATATGGCCAGCAGAGAATTCTCCTGGGATAGGAGAACTCTCATCTTGAGCAAATCCTGCACCACTCCTTCCTGTACTCAGCTTCAGCATGGATGAGCTTGCCAGGTGGCTGGAGTACACTGCACTCCAAGTAAACTCACCTGGCATTCAATCCTTTAGGGACCTTAGCCTGTTAGTTTAAACTAACAGCCCCTTGGTGGCTCTGATCTATGACCAGAACTCCAGACAGCAGAGATCCACCCTGAGAATCAACCAGCCATCACTGGCTCTCTCTGGGAGGAAGCACAGGAAAGCAGGGATTGTGATCCATTGTTTTTAATATTTATGTATATATAGATGGGCCAAGGCCTTCAGAAAGAGTGGCCTACAGTTAATCTCCTAAAGCCATACTTAGGCACCTAAATAAATGGCCTGATTTCTAAAGTAGCAGCAGCTTTCAGTGCTGGTCATTTTAAAAGTATCTTATAATATATATATATATATATATTTATTGTCTACACTATTTTATTTAGGAGCTTTAAAAGCAAACTTCAAACAGGAAACAATTATTTTTAAAAAGTTGTCAAAATATCAATTTGGTCTCCATCATATTCACAATGAACGATTTGGTGCTATTCATGTGCATGTTATAATACATTGCCATATGAGTCATGTAATTAAGCATTTACCGTAATTATTATATCAATTTTTGGATGGGAATGTGGCACATCACTTTTTATAATGAGGCTTCCACAACTGCACAGAACTGCTGTCTAGTTTCTATGTACCCTCAGCTGGAATGCAAATTTTGAAATCTACATGACAGGAGTTCCAAGGCTTTACTCCATGAAGGTCAGCCATTGCACGCTTTGAGACTTGAATATGCATTTTTTTTCATAGTAACTTGGACATGACTTCGCAGGGCTAGATTCACAAAGGGACTAAGGCACCTAACTGCCACTTTAGGCACCTAAATCACAGAATTAGACCCCAGTGGGATTCACAAAACCCCAGATCAGCTGTCTCTAATCACTCAATGCCTAAATTTTTGCAATGAAAGTTCCCTAGGCACCTATATTACATGCGCACTCTAGCCCCAGACAAGGTATCTGGATGCCAGAGCCCGAGTGTGATGCATGAAGCGAACCAAGGAAAGATAGGTATTCCTCCATCTAACCTGCCTGTGGGGCCTGATCTGGCCTAGCAGATCAGACTGCTATGGGGGGCTTACACAAAACTAGGAAAAGGGGTTGAGCTCCCACATAATTTTTAGCCCAGTCATTAAGGTATTCACCTGAGATGTGGGAGATCCCCACTTCAATTCCCTTGAGAGGAAGAAGGGTTTGAATAGGGGTCTCCACACTCTCAGGTGAATGCTTTTAACACTGAACTATGGAATAGTCTGATGTGCAGGATCCCTCAGTCTTTCCTGTGGAAGCTGTTCCACTTTGAAAAATATAAATAGAGCATCATTGGCTGAGAGAGAGAACAAGCACAAGAATGGCCCTGTAGCTTGATGATTAGCCCACTCACCTGGGATGGAGAGACCCAGGATCCAGTCCCCCTGCACTAATTATTTTTAAAATTATTTATGCAGGTGGAACAGTGATATTGAGGGAGCCACACATCAGAATTTAGAATGTTTAGAGTGCTCTTCTGAGAGGTGACCAACACCTGCTCAAATCCTTTCTTCCCTTCTGGGGGAAGGGAGAGGGTGGGTGGACTTCAGTAGGGGGTCTCCCACATCCTAGGTAAGTGCCCAACCACACGGCAAAAAGTTATGAAGGTGGTCATCTTCCTCCTCCTTCCCACCCCCAGCCTCTTGAAAAAAATGGCATAGATGCCTAACACCAAGAGCGGGTTTGCAGCTGGGAAGCCCAATCAGAGGCAGACACCTCCATACAGCCCAGACTAAGGCATGGAACTCCCTGAGAGAGGTGGAGCTTAAGACACGCCCCTCTCCTACGCATCTCCCATTGACTATCTCAGGGGGGGATCTGCCTAGCATGCTGGCTTTTATGAATCACCAGTCTTAGGCAGAGCCGGCTCCAGGCACCAGCTGAGCAAGCTGGGGCTTGGGGCGGCAGATTGTTTGAGGCGGCATTCTGTCCAATCCTAGGGCGGCACGGCCGCTTTTTGTTTTTGTTTGTTCCGCTCCGGCCGCCCTGTAGGGGGCGGCAGCGCGGAGAACCAGAGCGCCCTACAGGGCAGTCCTCTTCCTTCCCTCCCCGCCGACCGGAGCGGAGCCCTCGCAGCAGGCGGCAGCGCAGCGGGAGGGCCACGTGGCAGCGCCCCTGCTGTAGCCCTGGCCGCCCCCTTCTCTCTCTCTCCC